ATGGATTCTGAATTGTTTTTCCCTGGCCTCCTCTTTTCCCTTTTTATCTATTAAATTCTCTTCCACATTGCTTACTCATTCTTCTGCCTCACTTACCCTAGCTGTTAGATTATCTAGATTAGATTGGATCTGATTGATAGCATTTTTAAATTCTGCCAATTCAGCTTTCATTTCTGCCCTTAGAGACTCTATGTTGCCATTAATTGATTTCTCCATTCTAGCCATTATCTTCACAATTGCTAGCCTGAATTCCATCTCCGACATCTTGGTTATATCTGCATCCATTTCTAAATCTGCTGCATAAGTCATAATCTTGGAGTCTTTTCTGTTTTGGGGGCTCCTCCTCCTAGTCATTCTGTTGATGGGTGGTTGAGGATATCTATAGAGTCCAAATTATTGACCAGAACCAAGCAAGATGCACCTGTTTTCTAGGGACCTTTAGGGTTGTTGGCCTCTTGTTTTCCCAACCTGTTTTCTGGGGGAGGGGCCTGCCGCACTGTTACTCACGCAACCCTGTTTGGGCAGAGTTGCTCTTCCCCCTGTGGAGGGGGATGGGCTCAGTGGGAACCAGTTTTTGGGGCTTTTGTTCTCTGGCGCTTTCTGGCGGCTTTCTGCATCTCTTTTGAGAGTCAGAGCAGAAGAGACCATTTCCCACCCTCTGCCTCAGAGCAGAGAGATCACAGTCTGTTCTTTAGTGAGCTCTCCAGGCCACACTATCTCTGTTTCTGTCCGTGTTGCTATAAACTGCAGCATCCTGGGTTGTGTGCCCCTCCTCAGTGACCCCAGTCCTGCCTGCAGGTCAGGCATGTCTCTGCCCTTTATGCTTCTAAAACCACCAGCCGCTCCCAGTTTGCAAGTGTGACCCCGCCGCTCTGGGTTTCTGTCCCGGAGGCTGCCCTAAAGTCCTTTCCCCGTGGCTACTGGTCTGCAAGTCTGTGCCCCGTTCCCAGCGTGCGAGGCTGTTGCTCACCAGTGGTGTAGGATCCCCATGGCCAGGCTCCCTCCCGCTGCCGTTCATCCTCTGATATCTGCCTGTGGAATCACAGCTCCCTGCTTCATACCTCGAAACCAACCTCCCACGATATTCTGTTTGTAGAGATCCAGATCTTCTTACATCTCAGGCTGATTTTGTGTGTGTTCAAAGTGGTCTGATAGATATCCAGCTCAATTCCAGGGACCAGTTGGAATAGGGTCCCCTACTCCTCTGCCATCTTTTCTCTGAATCCTAAAATAAATCTTTAAAAACTAAAAGTAAAAATTAAGTGTCCATACTACTTATAGCCATTTATAGATTTAATGTAATTCCTATCAAAATTCCAATGACATTTTCATAGAAAAAGAAAAAATCTAAAATTTGTATGGAACCACAAATGACTCTGAATTGCCAAAACAATCCTAAGAAAGGAGAACAAGGTAAGAGGCATCATATTTCTTGATTTCATATTATATTACAAAGGTATGGTAATCAAAACTGTACAGTATTGGCATTAAAAACAGACACAAAGACCAATAGAACAGAACAGAGAGCCTCCAAATCAACCTTCATATACAGGGTCAACTAATATTTGACAAGGGAGCCAACTAATAATTAAGAAGGAAGCCAATATTTGACTCAGTGGAGAAAGGATAGTCTCTTCAATAAATGATGTTGGAGATAGTGGTTAACCACATACAGAAGAATTAAATTGGACCCCTATCACATACCATCCATGAAAATTAATTCACAATGTATTAAAGACTTAAACATAAGACCTGAAACTGTAAACTCCTAGAAGACAACAGAGAAAAAGCCCTTTGACATTGGTCTTGGCAACTTTTTTTTTTTTGTATATGACAAGAAAAGCACAAGTAACAATAGCTAAAATATAGGTAGTCATTCTTTATCTTGTATATGTGAACAATAGAATGTAACTGCAAATTTAGAGTGAGATGGTGTACATATACTTTAAGCAGAAAAAATAATAAATAAGCTTCTAATTTATTGACTTTTTATACAATTCTTTTAGAAAAATAAAACCTACTTTACCAAATCAAATAACATAAATAAGATTTTTCCTCCCCACCAACCTGATTCCCTTGGTAGTAAAATTGTAGTCTTGTTTCTTCTTCCATTCCTTCTTTCCCCTAGTTTCATTGGATACATTCAAACATACAAACATAAAGGGATTTTTCTGATATGCCTATTGTCTTTTGCCTAGATTCCTATCATTGTCTCTTAAATGATCTCATTGCTTCTAATCTGGTTCTGCTCCAATCACTTTAAAAATAAGAATGAATTTTTAGTTTGACACCAATACCCTTAATGATTCAATCCCTACCTACCCTTCTACTCTCATGTCCTGCCACATGTAATTTGTGCACCATACACCCATATTTACTTGTATTTCTTCAAAAATGATATTATGGTGGTTTATTTCTGTAGACTTTTATATATTATATTCCTCTTACCTAATATATGTTTTCCTTCTTTGTCTAGGTCAAAACTACCCTTTATTCAAAACTTATCTTAAAACTCAGGAATTACTTCCTGACTCATTCGTTGTTTTTCCCATACCACACTAGAAACCTGCAGACTTGTTACTCCCCCAATCACAACTCTGGTCAAACTAGTGTATGTTTTTAAGTTTTTAATTCCAGTTAGTTAATATACAGTGTAATTCAACACCCAGTGCTCATCACAACAACTGCACTCCTGAATCCCATCATCTATTTCCCCCATCCCTCCACCCACCTCCCCTCTGGTAACCATCAGTTTGTTCTCCAAAGTTAAGAATGTTTCTCTCTCTCTCTCTCTTATTTTTCCACTTATTTGTTGTGTTTCTTAAATTTCACATATGAGTGAAATCATATGGTATTTATATATATTTCTCCAAAAATATGGAATGTTTCATGAATTTGCTTGTCATCCTTGCACAAGGGCCATGCTAATCTTCTCTGTGTCATTCCAACTTTAGCATATGTGCTTCCAAAGTGAGCACAAACTAGTGTATTTTTAAAGTCTGATGGTTGGGGCACTTGGGTGGCTCAGTCAGTAAAGCATCTGACTCTTGATCTCAGCTCAGGTCTTGATCTCAAGGTCATTAAGTTCAAACCCCATATTGGGCTCCATGCTGGGCATGGAGCCTACATAAAAAATATAAATTAGTAAAGTCTGATGGTTATATAATACCATTGCTTCACCAATGCATATCTAAGAATGAAACTAATGACTGAGAAATGGAAGATGCTCACTCTCCTCATGTCTTGGTAATGGATTATTTAGACAGTCTGTTGCTTAGATCAATTCCTTATTCTTTTCACTATTCCAAAGAGTTTGGTCTGCCCAGAAGAAAATAAATCTACTCAGCCATCAGAAAAGATGAATACCCAACTTTTACATCAACATGGGTGGGACTGGAGATTATGCTAAGTGAAATAAGTCAAGCAGAGAAAGTCAATTATCATATGGTTTCACTTATTTGTGGAACATAAGGAATAGCATGGAGGACATTAGGAGAAGGAAGGGAAAAATGGGGGGGGTGGAATTGGTGGAGAGATGAACCATGAGAGACTATGGACCTGAAAAACAAACAGGGTTTTAGAGGGGAAGGGGGAGGGGGGATTGGTTAGCCAGGTGATGGGTATTAAGGAGGGCACATACTGCATAGAGCACTGGGTATTATACTAAAACAATGGATCATGGATCACTACATCAAAAACTAATGATGTATTGTATGGTGACTAACATAACATAATAAAATTTAAAAAAATGATTATATCAGTTATCTCAGAGTATCAGGGGCTGATGTTTAAAAACAAATACACACACATTGGACAACTTTGGAATCCCCTTTAGATTCTTAAATATCCCAGGCAAAGCATACATTATTAATGCAGATGGACTTTATGTGTAATGATCATTACATAGATAAACTAATACAAAGACTTATACAATGAGCTGGATATATGAATATTATTCTATTATGAGAATATTGTGTTCTAACCTTAATGATTAGCAATCACTGGTGGAAAAATTCCATAAAGAGCAACACTTTAAATATTCAGATTGTAGTATTGACTATGTATTTCAGTTTTTCAGAAATAAAATCTCTAGAAACTTACTCCTTTTTAATTGAAGCAAGATGACTTTGATTCTTATATGACTGAATGGGCTAAATTAGGGATGTTTGGACATTATATTAGGCAGAAACTTTTTTGGTTGCAGGAGAAGATCCAAATAACACTGTGTCATAAAGTACACAGTTTTCTAAAATAACAAGACTTTTCGTATTTTTTTGCTATAGGAGCTGGTTCACTCCTCAATACAGGCAGACTGGCATTTCTATAATTCTGTTGTCCTTTCCCACAAGATTGCAAGTTGCCGTATTTCCTGACATCCCATTTATATCCTAATCCACCTAAATGCTTATTTTGCCAGAACTCATTACTTGACCCTTAGCTACAAATGAGACTGAATTAAAAAGTATTTAGCTTTTACTTCTAAACTGGAAGTAAGTAGGGTATAAATGTTTGGGAAATGGGCATTAGTGTTAGCTGACCTACAGTTTCAACCACAGAAGTAAAGCTTTTTAATGCAGCTCTCTATTGCTAAGAGAAATTATGTTCTATTGGACCTACTTTTCCAATGTAGTTGATACTATGGATAATAGCACATATGTTCACACAATAAATAACTCAGATCCACTTTAAGAGAGATATTGTATTAGAACATTTGCTTCATCCACTGTGGCATTTATTTCTGTTCTTGTGTTTAAATTGAGTTTCAACCAACAGTATGAGATGCTTTAAGTATAATCACTTTATGGATAGAGGAAGTGTCATGTTGTTAACTTAGTAAATTCCTTAGAATTGTTGGAATGTTAGTATTATTTCAATTATAATTGATAAATCACATGGAACCTCTGAATAGGACAGATTGTTGAAATTTCAGTAAATTCCTCTTTTAAATTTAAATTTAAATTTTTTTAAGTAATCTCTACACCCAGTGTGGGGCTCAAACTCATGACCCTGAGATCGAGTCACATGCTCTACTGACTGAGCCAGCCAGGCACCCCAGTTTCAGTAAATTCTTAATAAAAATACAGACAGACAGATGAAAATAGATTTTAAATCAAAATGTGCCATTACTCAAAGAAACTTAAATCATCACTAAAGTTCTTTATGTTTACAAAACTAGCTATGGATTTAAATCCCCTGAGATGATTTTCAAAACAAACTTCATGCCTCTAATTCAATCTATCTGAATTAAAACATATCTCTATTGTCAACAAGTCACCAGGTGTCTTGTTGCTTTGGTTTTCAGACTAACATTTAATAACAAGTATACAACCCAATGTTGTACACCTTTAAAAAAAATTGTTTTTAGGGGCGCCTGGGTGGCTCAGTCATTAAGCGTCTGCCTTCGGCTCAGGTCATGATCTCAGGGTCCTGGGATTGAGCCCCACATCGGGCTCCCTGCTTCGCAGGAAGCCTGCTTCTCCCTCTCCTACTCCCCCTGCTTGTGTTCCCTCTCTCGCTATGTCTCTCTCTGTCAAATAAATAAATAAAATCTTTAAAAAAAATTGTTTCTATTATTTTAATATAGTAACCTGCAAATAAGAGTAATGAACAGTTACTAATAAGAGTGTAAATGAGCTTCATCAATAAAGCTGATTTAAAATAAAGCAAACAATTTTATTCTGGGAAGTTTGGATCTCCAAAGATTTCACAATATATGATCTGATACACACTTGTAACACTTAAGAGGAAGAATGTTAAAAATAAGAGAATTGTACTAACAAATTAAAAAGTCTAGAAAGCTTTGATTTCCAATTCATTGAAATTCAATTAGGCCACTTGTCTGAGAAGAAATTTCAGTTCAAGATCCTCGAAAAGTTCAAGTTCTCCTTGAGATTCAGTGCTACACAGCTACTGTTCATCAGACAGCTGAGCTTGCTGATGGGTTAATTAATCTCATCAGCCCAACTGGAAGGCAAGTTTCAAATTACTCAATGGAGTGTTGTCACTGCCAATGATTTCTTATTCTATATCTTGGTGGAGGAGAGTTTATCATTAATGAACAAGTGAACTCCAAAACTTGGTTAAGAGCTCTCTTAGAGACAAGAAAGTTTAAATTTCTTCCCTGAATTTCTAAATTCCCCTTAATAAGATGGCATGAAACACAGAAATATGTTAGCAATGAAAAAACAGAATGCATTTTAAGTTCTCCAGATTAAAATAATTATAGTAATAATTTTAAAATGACAAAATATATCTAAATATTGGATTGGTGGGGGACACCTGAGTGGCTCAGTTGGTTAAGCATTTGCATTCAACTCAGGTTATGATCCCAGGGTCCTGGGATCAAGCCCAGCCTTGGGGTCCCTGCTCAGTGGGGAGCCTACCTCTCTCTCTCCCCCTCTCCCTCTGCTGCTCCCCCTGCTTGTTCTATCTCTCTCTGTCAAATAAATAAATAAAATCTTTTAAAAAATGAACAATAATAAATATTGGATTTTTTTAGTGTTCTCTTCCCCTATATATACTGTTTTTCTTTTTTTTTAAATTTAGAGTTCTCATTTTCTTTTTTATTTTTAAGATTTTATTTTATTTATTTGACAGAGAGGGACACAGCGAGAGAGGGAACACAAGCAGGGGGAGTGGGAGAGGGAGAAGCAGGCCTTCCGCTGAGCAGGGAGCCTGATGCGGAGCTCGATCCCAGGACCCTGGGATCATGACCTGAGCAGAAGGCAGACACTTAATGACTGAGCCACCCAGGCACCCCCTGTTTTTTTATACAGATAGGTTTCTCTTTTACCTAGACATTTTTATAACTTTCCCTTCTACTTATTACAATATATTTTAATATTTTAACAAACTTCATGTTACCTTGTGTTATAGTTTCAACATGTCTTTGTTACCCTGTGTTATAGTTTCAACATGTCTTTGTTTTTATTAACAACAAATGTGAAAATAAACCTTCAATATTTAATAAACTGGCATACTGATTAGGCCAGTCTTTATCTTTTCATGTCATCAAGTAGAAATATTAGCTACAAAGTATCAAAATATGTTGTTATTTCAAATGATATAATATTAATATTGACAATACCGAAAATAATGTTTAAACCTTACCAAGCTAGGTAGTGGACTAACATATTTGTTACTCTTCAACCTATTTTTAGGCCCCATGCAAGTCATCAGATATTTCAAGTTTTATTTTAATTTTTTTTAGTCAAAAGCCTCCTTAATAATTTATAGGTAAATACAAAAAAACCAAAGTCAACATTTACAAAGGCATCTTTTGCAGAAATCTGTATGCACATTTATTGTTATAAAGATTTTTTTAATTTTCTGATACTTACATAATAAGACAATAACAGTAATAATAATAAGCATGGTAAAATTCCTAATACTTAAAGAATGTTTTCTATATACCAGGTACTGTGCTATGTAAAATTGCAACATGGATTCAAAAAGACCTAGCTTTGGTCTTTTTTAACCTTGAGAATTTTGTTCATTTCTCTAAGCCTCAGTATCCTCATTTATAAAACAGGCATAATGAACATAACTGCTTCATAAGGCTGTGATGAGTAATTATGAGAATAAATGAAAAATGCAATGTAAAAGCTCAGTATAAGATAGACTGTATGATGATTATGAAGATGCTTAGCAATGCATTGATTTCTACTTCCTCCTCTTAATTTTTAACCTGTTAATTAATCTTTGTGTCTTTGTTACTTAGCACAGAACCTGCAACATTATAATTACTCAAAAAGATTAGTTAAACTGGGATGCCTGGGTGGCTCAGCCGGTTAAGTGTCTGCCTTCAGCACAGGTCATGATCCCAGGGTCCTGGGATGGAGTCCTGAATCAGGCTTCTTGCTCAGCAGGGAAGCTGCTTCTCCCTCTGCGGGCCTCTCCTCCTGCTTGTGCTCTCTCTCTGTCTCTCTCTCTGGCAAATAAAGAAATAAAAATCTTTAAAAAAAACAATTAAACTGAA